TATAACTACCATTGATTATAAATACTAGTATTTATAATCAATTTAACTACTAATAAACATTTCAAAATAAATATTTATACTGCTTATTAAAAATAATTATGAGTTAAAGAATTTAATTTAATTTAATTTAATTTTAATTTTGGCAATGTAAAAAAAAATTATTTGGTAGTTTCAAACTGTTATATTCGGTGTTAAATAAGTTATTAAAATTCTTATCTCAAAAAATTAACACTTTGTATACATACAGTTTAAAACATTTATTATTAGTAGGCGGTTTGGAAGTTATAGAGCTAAGAAATGCAAAATATACATGCAAAAAAATTATAAAATATGTTAAAAAAATGTGAAATAAAAAAAATCAGTAAATCTGCGAAATATCAATTAAAGTTCATTAATCAAAAACTTATATTGTTATTACATATTAATTATTATTTATTAATACAAATATATATATATTATTGAAAACTAAAATATGGCGCATAACTAGTTAGCATTTGGCATTTTATTGATCTGAAAAAAAAATATATCTTCATTATTTGTGAAGTTAAATACAAAATTAATTTATATTATATATTACCTGTTAAATTGTTGCATTGAACCACTTTATTATTTATACATTATTATACTATTATTTATGATTATTTAAAATACATATAGTTTAGGAAAGAATAAAAAGCAATTTTTACGGTTACTTTTTTTAAATAATTATTTACAGAACATTTCATAAAATGTATAGTTAGGTGATTCATGAATTAAATGCACAATTTTGTGAGACATCATTTTTTAGTTAAAAATAATACAGATTTATTTTTTTAATCAGCAACACTTCCTGACATGTGGGAAAGAACCATTACAATTGGATCTGCTGGCAAAACATTTAGTATGACTGGCTGGAAACTTGGATGGGCATATGGCCCAGCTAATTTCATAAAAAATCTAGGTGTTATTCACCAGACTGCAATTTATACATGTGCGACAACAATTCAAGAAGCTGCTGCAAGAGGATTTGAATACGAAATTAATGCTCTTAATACACCGGAAAGTTATTTTCAAAATTTGTCAAAAGAGTTGCAACCAAAAATGCAATATCTTTTTAAAATATTACAAAACAATGGCCTCCATCCAATTATGCCTGATGGAGGATATTTTATGATTTCCAACTGGACGAAGTTTGGTGGGTATTTAATCATTTCTGACAATGGTTTACATTATGTATAAGTTTTTTAACTATTTAATTTCATCTAATTTACCTTTTACTTTTTAGAAAATAAATTAGATTTAAGTTCAGAAACTGATAAATACAAGGACTTTAGATTTGTTAAGTGGCTCTCTAAGAATGTTAAGCTTCAAGGAATACCATTTTCAGCATTCTACTCAGAACCGCACAAAAAGATGGCTGAAAATTATCTACGATTCTGTTTTTTTAAAGTAATTTTTTACTAGGATTGACTTTATTTTTTTAAATTAAAAAATATACCTATTTTCTATTTAACAGAAAAATGAAACTTTGAACAAAGCAGAAGACATTTTAACAGCATGGACTCGCAGTTTAACAGAACAAAAGTCTAAACTTTAAAATATTTTGTAAAGATGACAATAAAAAAAAGATTACCTATCAAATTTTATAATTAGTAAAAATTACACTAGTAAAGTATCCTATTTGTAGAGTATATCAATTAAAATTAATAAGTAGTTGGTATTCATTTTTATTATTTTATATTTATACTTAGGATTTAAGCATAGTAGAATTACAATAACTAATCAAAAAATATAGGATAACTAATTTATACAGCCCTAATAACATTTTTTTATATCTAAGTCGATCAATGTGTTTAGTTAAAATAACTAAACAAAAATCTCGGATATCTAGTTTACATAATTTGAACAATTTTATTTTTTTTTGATACTAACAGTTTCATATTTTTACTTGCAATAACAATAATTTATAATTTGTTCAACAAAGTAATATAACTAAACCTGCATGATAAGAACTACTAAAGTCTAAGAAACTAAATAATTAGCTGTAGCTATATTGCAAACTGAAATGTTGGTTATGTAATCTGTTTAAATGGTTAACACAACCATTATTTTTTCCATGATGACGCCTAAATGCCTATAACATATAGATATGGGTTAGATAAAATAATGCTTTTTTTTWAAAAAAAACYGTTTACTTATAATAATAATAGTTATGTAGTAATATAGTATAAATGACAATAAAAATATATTTTGATGAGGTATAACTTCTTTATTTATCTAAAAAAGAGGACTAAGTACTACTTTACATAAATATTGATAGAAAATTGATAGATTTTTACACTATTCAAGGTATTTTTTAATGATGTTTTTTTTTTGTACGTACATGTGTACATTTTTCTACAAAAAAATGCACCAATTTTCAAATTTGGAGAAGGTTTCTGGTAAATGAACTAGTTGGTACTT